GATGCTTTTCACGTAAGCAGTTCATGAGGAACCAGCCCTGTCTTTGTGTGGGTAAATGTGAGTGGCCTCTGGCCTCTGATGGCCTTTGTTCCCTTCCACCGTCCCTTCTTCTTTAGCTACCTTCCATGAGTCTGTCGTTAGCTGCCACAGTGACTGCAGGGACCAGTGAGGGCTAGTCTGGATCCAGGACTAGTCTAGGGTTTTGTCTGAACCCCTGTTGCTGGTATGATCATGTTGCTCCAGTCAGGGCCTGTGAAGGAATAGCTTCAGGAAGCCTCAAAACAGAGGTCCCATCAGACCTCAGCCTGCAGATCGGAAGCCAGCAACACAGGGGGACTTCTCTTGCATGGAATAATAAATTCTTGCCCAGCAATGGTAGTATATATCTTTAATCCCAGGACTTGGGAGGCAGAGGCAGGGAGATCTCTATGACTTTGAGGCCAGCCTGGTCTACATAGTGAGTTTCAGGATAGCCAAACAGAAACCCTCTCTTGAAAAACCAAAAAAATAATAATAATAATAATAATAAATTCTCTTTCTCTTTTTAAGTTGTATCAGAAAAAGTCTTAAGCAACATTGTTTTATTCATAAACGCTCTGGTGATTTTTTTTAAATATCTCAGATTTATAACAAATGTAAATTTTAACATTGTGAACAAAGGTGATAATGTTAGGATTCAGGCATTATGCTGACCCCTCTGTCACCTGGCAGCACGCACCCAGGGTCCTAAGGCTGCTACATCACTACTAAGTCTGTATACAGGTGCAAAAGTCCCTTTAAGAGATAAGCTCCACCCACTCTTTCTTTCTGCCATTTCTCTGAGAAGGCTCTCTGTCTGTTTACTCCTTGCCATGAGATCCACAGTCCTACCTTACACATATCATTACAGATACTGTGACAATAAAATATTGATAAATATAGGAATTTTAGTATTTTTACGTTTTTATTTATTTTTTGAGCTTTTCTTTTTTTTTTTTTTTTTTCTTTTTGGTTTTTCGAGACAAGATTTTGCTGTAGTTTTAGAGCCTGTCCTGGAACTAGCTCTTGTAGACCAGGCTGGCCTCGAACTCACAGAGATCCGCCTGCCTCTGCCTCCCGAGTGCTGGGATTAAAGGCGTGCACACCACCGCCAGGGTTTTTGAGCATTTCTTACGGCATACTTTTATCACATTCTTTCCCCTCCCCTAGCTCCTCCCACATTCTCCTCCTACCCCAACTCTTTCAATTTTACATCTTCAGTACAACTAAGATGATTCACTCTGGGATTATTAAAAAGGACTTTTAGTTTGTTTTTTTCCAGACAGGCTCTCACTACGTAGCTAGGGCTGTCCTGTAACTCCTTATGCAGACCAGGCTGGCCTCAAACTCAGAGATCCACCTGCCTCCTAAGTACTGGGATTAAAGGCATGCACCACTACCATCCCACCCAGCAAGAGTGTATTTTTTAAAAACTTTTTTTACGTACTCAGTATCTGAGTTTTTCGTTAGTTTTGTTTTGTTTCATTTGAAACAGGGCACACCTTGTAGCCCAGGTTGGCCTCCTTGAACTCACATAGTCTTCTGTAAGGGCCAAAGTTAACCTGTAAATCCCACTTGCCCAAGGACAGTTAACTTCCTGAAATCCTGGGGGCTGGTTCTTCTGAGATAAAAAGCCACCTTTTTTCACTCCCTAAACAAGTTTGTCTGAGCCAGCTGTATCAGATGTGCTTGGTCAGATTTAGGTGGGAGGTAAGTAGGCAGGAAATATGTCAGGATGTAAACCTGCCCTGATTGGATGCAGGCAGGGAGTCACCAGGATACACGTTTGCCCCTAATTGGCTGTAGGCAGTGAATACATCAAGATACATGCTTGTGCCCACCCTGATTGGGCCTGATGAAAAATACATAGTCTTATGGGCTTGCCTTTATAAGACTCTCAAAATATCACTCGTGCCATTTTCTGGGAAACCCCGAATGATATTGGCCAGAGTCCATCATCCTGGCCGGCATTCTATTAAAACTTGCTTCAAATTTGGTTCAACAATTGTGGAACAGGTCTTTCTCTCCTGCTTTTAAGGTTTAACACTTCCTCGCCTACTGAATGCTGGCATTGAAGGCCTGTTCCACCTCAGCCAGCTTTCTTCAATGTCTGCTTGGATTATTTATTTTTGTTTGTTTCTTTGTTTATATAGTACTGTGGATAGAGCCCCGAGGCCTTGCATATTAGGCAAAGGGCTCTATCCAATTTGATATTTTTTAAAAGATGCATTTATGTTTTTATTTTATGTGTATAGGTGTTTTGCCTACATGTATGCATGCGTACCATTTGCATGCCTGGTGGCTGCGGAGACCAGCTGAAGTTACAGATGGTAGTGGTCCACTTGCCCAAGAACAGTTAACTTCCCAGAATCCTGGGGGCTATGGTTTTTCTGAGATAAAAAGCCACCTTTTTTCACTCCCTAAACAAGTTTGTCTGACCCAGCTGTGCCAGATGTTCTCCCACATTTAGGTGGGAGGTATGTAGGCAGGAAATAAGTCCGGATGTATGTGGGTGCTGGGAACCAAACCTGGGTCCTCTGTAAGAGCAGCGTGTGCTCTCCACGGCTGAGCCATCTCTCCAGCCCACAGTAGGATAGGTTTTGACAAATACCCTGTGTATCCTCAGATTAGACATGGAGGTTTCCATCTCTTCAGGCACTTCTCTCATCCTCTTTTCAGTTACTCTCCACCCCTGACATGAAGAACCACATTCTGCTTTCTGTACCTGGAGATTAGAATTGTCTGGCCTCAAAAGGCATCCACATTTCCCCGTGTCTCTTTTTTCATATGCATCTTTTCCAGCAAGCTCTTCTCTTGTGTCTATCTTCTTTCACTCACTTTGCGCAGTTCTTTTTAGATTTAGTTCATCTGCATTAGGGTGTGAACCAGTTCTTTTTGTTGTTGTTTTTCTTTTGTTTTGAGGCAAGGTTTCTTTATGTAACCCTGGCTGTTCTGGCACTCACTCTGTAGACCAGGCTGGCCTCAAACTCACAGAGATCCATCCACCTGCTTCTGCCTCTGGAGTGCTGGGATTAAAAAGACGTGCACCACCACCCAGCTGTTGCTCAGATTTTACTTCCAGTCACCGAAGTGACACTTTCTTGCCATTCTTTCCCTTGTGGATGCATATTATATAATTTTAGAGATGAGATTTTGTTCATATTCATGTTGCACAAAACTCAGAAATCCAACCCTGTAATACCACAGCCACCTAAACTCACACACCGATATCACCATGGGAAGATGGAAGCTACATTCAACACACAGAGCCCTAGTTCAGTGGTCCTAGGCAGTAAATATTCTTTGTGGGTTAAACAGAATCACTTCAGATTTTGAAAAGTGTCCCAGACAATAAGACTGGTTGAAAGAGGCCTCGAAGTGAACTGAAGATTCCTTTAGTCTGGGGGTCTGCAAATGTCTACACTGTTGGGGATGTTAAATATAAATTGGGACAACAAAAGTGGGCTAGCCACAGAGCTGGAATACTTTTCTAGCAAAGGAAGTGGTAAGTACCAAGCCATGAAAAGGAAAGGTTCTAAAGAAAGAGAACGCAGTCGTGCGGATTGAACAGAATGAATGAGGAAGTCAGCAAAAGCAAAGAGGCTCCAATGTGTGGCTGACCTGTTAGCTTGAGGCACAGTTTCATTATGTAGCCCAGGCTGGCTTTGAACTTGAGATCCTCCTATCTCAGACTCTGAGTGCTGAAATTATAGGCTTGTACTACCACACCCAGCCTTAGATATCTTAGCTATTCTAACTATAGAATAGGATTACCTCTAATAGAGAATGGTGCTCCTTCCTAGAGGATCCTCCTAAGGACAATGCCTGGATGTGCACCCTTTTATAGCCCCACACTAGGGTTTGGTATCAGACAGTTTGATCCTTTGTTCCAAATAACACTTGTGTTTCAAAAGCCTACTGCTGTCGTCACAGAAAAGGTACCCTTTGGACCACAATTCTTAAAGTACCTCCATCACAGCACGCGACCCAGAGGCCTGTGGAGTCTTTCTGCCCTAAAGCAGAAGAATCCAGATGGTTTTGAACTCTAGGCCACCTGAGAAAAGCTGCCCAATTTTGGCTTTTCCCTCAGCTCAATGGACAGACTTTGCTACCTTCTATCATTTAACCTTTGGATGACCTTCATCTCTACTTCAGGGGCATACTCAGGCCTGCGTGTGCACACACACAGATATATAATCTATGCCTGATACTATGTATTGTTTGAAACTGTTGGCTTACACTTCAAAGGTGACCTGGTTGTAGAGAGAAGTGGTTTTCTTGTATGAATTGTCAATAGTCTAAGGGGAAGACTTGAATGGGAATTAAAACTTCCTCATTTTTTCTAAGAAAGTAATAATTAACAAAGGCTTCTCAAGAAGATGACCTGGGCTGAAGCCTCCACTCTGCCATCTACTGCTGTGCAACTATTTGCATATTATCTAGTGTCTCTGAACCACTGCGGAGCAGAGGAGTCAAAGTACAAGAGGAAAAGAATATAAAGAGAAAGCCCAAGTTCAAAGCCCAACTCTCTCACTTATGAGCTGTGCAACTTCAGATAAGTTATTTAACCTCTCTGTGCTTCGGTCCTCTATATAGAGTCGCGGGTAACAGTAGTCTGCATCTCAAAAGGCTGTTGTGTGGCCTGTGTGGTGGTGAAAGCCTGGAAGCCCAGCCCTCCTTGCAGCAGAGGCAGATAGATCTCTATGAGTTCAGGACAGCTAGGGCTACATAGAGAAACCCTGCCTCAAAAACAAAATGAAAAACAAGCAAGAGAGAGAGAGAGAGACAGAGAGACAGAGACAGAGACAGAGAGAGAGAGAGAGTATTATGTGGATGTAGATACCTTCAGAAACACTTGGAAATAATGCCTCCCACAGACTGTGTGCTTTCTGAATTTAGCTACTTTTATTTTGAAAGAATTGTTTGTTCCTCGCAAGGACAAAGCATTGAAGGCTTGACGTTTCCTGGCACAGGTGTCTCACAAATATCTCAAAACCCGCCAGGACCTCTAAGCTAGAGGAAACGTGCTTATTATTCAGGGTGTCACCTCTAAATAGCAGCGAAGCTGTCACCGCTCTGATTAGGTAAGCAGAGCCCGCAAAGCGCTGAATCATCGCCCCCGATTCCCCTGATGGAAACTCACGTGGTCACTACGCTCACTTTCTATTTTTGAAATATACCTTCATAGATGGAATTTTTGGTGAGGAAGTGAGAGAAAGCCAGAGAACTATGTTATTTAGAAATGATGTCCACGATCACGTCAAGTTGGTGGGGGGTGAAGATGAAGTACATCCAGTCAACTGACTGGAGGTGAGAAAGGAATAATGGCCAGTTAGTTCATCTAATTTTCAATAAGAACTAGTGATGAAAAAAATCATAAAAGCCAAGTTAATCCACTATTACTTTAAAAAAAAAAAAGACAGAGCAAGGCAGATCCTGAGTCACCTTCCTGGTCAACTATTTTTATTGACTTAAGATAACAAAGGATGAGCGTTTGAATGGAGCTGATTAGTTTCTGCCCAACAGACAACTCACATCCTGGAATTCCCCCAGCCTTGAGGATTGTTGCTTAAGCCAACATTATGAAGACAGATTTTCTTCCCCCCCAACATTGGTCAAAAAAAAAAAAGTTTAAACTCAGAGAATTTACTGCTAGCCACTGATTAAACCATTTCGTTTTTCTATTGATAGATTTGCCAACTTTCCACAAAACAGATTCTTTTTAGGTGTGTGTGTGTGTGTGTGTGTGTGTGTGTGTGTGTGTGTGTGTGTGTGTTTACCATGCGCATGTGCTGTTGTTCTCAAAGGTTGGAAAAAGCTGTCAGATCCCCTGTAACTGGAATTATAGGAAGTTGTGAGCCACCCAGTGTGAGTGGTGGGAACCGAACTCAGGTCTCTGCAAAAGCGAGCAATACTCACTCTTAACTGCTAAGTCATCTCTCCAACTCTGACAGACTCTATATTCCTTCCTTCCTTCCTTCCTCCCTCCCTCCCTCCCTTCCTCCCTTCCTTCCTTTCTTAAATTATTTGTGTATAGGGGGTAGGAGGGTGAAGGGTATATGCACAAGTATGCAGATGCCTGAATCAAAGGCTGTAGGTGTCAGATCCCCTGAAGTAGTTGGGAACCATCTAATGTGAGTCCAAGGAATGGAACTCTGGGCCTCTCCAAAAGCAGTATATGCTCTCAATCACTGAGCCACCCTCTGCCCCCTAATTCTACATTTCTGTACTACATGCTTTGTGGACACACCAACCCTTACAGCATATTTGAGGGAAATGTGTAGTTAGCTAACAAAGTAAAGTCAGAAAAAGACTATGCTAAACTTGATACAAAACCAAAGTAGATCCATGTCTTTTTAGATTATGAACAATGTACTTTGGACAAACAAGTACCCGAATGATTAATTCAAATTACATTATTTCCAAAGAACTGCCATAGGATTTTTTACCCTATAAACCCACTCCCATGTACATGTTCTAACAACCACACATGCATGCATGGGCAAGAGTGAAGCATTAGAATGGCCTGAGTATCTACCATAGTACATGGAGTAGATGGACCAACTAGAGGTAGAGTGATTGACATTAAAAAAAAAAAACCCTCAGAAATATAATACCAAGCAGGTAAGAAAAAACAAGGTAAGAGAAGAGGCAGCTAGTATGAGACTGCCTTTTATATAATGACTATTATATACACCACATAAAGGCTTTATGTGATTTCACAGAGTTAGATGACATTATAGTTAGAATCTTATATGCGCTTCATATTAGGCAGGTGTTTCTAACAGAACAGAACTGATAGAATGAATATATTTATATAAAAATTCCCACATAGAAAAATATATATATATGCATACATATATACATGTATGGGGATTTATTAGACTGAATTACAGGGTGTGAGATCTGGGTAGTTCACCAATAGCCTTTCTGTGATGGAAAGGGCCAGAATTTTGGTGATGTGTTCAGTCCTTAAGGCTGGATGTTGCTGTGATCCCAGCTTGGTACTGGAAATTTGGAGGATTCCTGCAGAGCTGCCTGCTGGTCCTTGTCTGTGTTGGAATTCTGAAGAATTTGGCTTTAATTTCTGCGACAGAACAGGATAGAAGAGCTTGCCAGTGAGAATGAGGCAAGTGGAAAAAGAGCAGTGTTTCCTTCCTCCGTGTCCTTCTACGTGGGCTGTGAGCAGAAAAGGAGGCCCAGAGTTAGGGTGGGTCTTCCTGGTTCACATAATATGATTAGGAAAATCCCTCACAGGGGCACACAGTATCTTTGGTTTCAGTCAACAACCAAGATCTGCCAACACATCCTCTAAGGCTCATATGCTAAAGGCTTGACTATTAACCTGTGGCTTTATTGGAAGGCCAAGGTTTGGTGGGAACAAGCCAAACTCCTGGGGGATGTGATGATTTGAATCAGATGTCCCCTATAGTCAGACATTTGAATACTTGGACCCCACTTGGTTGTGCAGGTTGGTGAGGCTTAGGTGGGTGTGACTTACTGGAGAGAGTATGTCACTGCAGGGTGGTCTTGGAGTTTGAGACTGTTGACATTCCCAGTTTGCTCTCTGCTTCTTGCTTGGGGTTAGAGATGGGAGCTCTAAGCTGTTCTGCCGTGATTTCTTCCATGGTAATGTTTTATCTCTCTGAAGCTGTGAGCCCAAATACACCCTCCCTTCTGTAAGTCATCTTGCCCATGGTATTTTATCTATCAATAGAAAAGAATTAAAACAGGGGTATAATCCTGAAGGGGATGTCAAGTCCATATCCTCTTCCCCGTTTCTCTTTTCTTCCTGGCTACCATTAAGTGAACAGATTTCCTTCACCTCACACTTCTGGTCACAATATACTATGTCAACAGAGACCCAGAGCAAAGGGCCAACTGACCATAGACTGAAACCTCTGAAATCGTGAGCCAAAATCATTATAAGTTGTTTCTCCCAAGCTTTCTACCCTTGTCTCAGGATGGAAAGGGAGCTAATATCAGTGATGAAGGCTAGAAATTGTCTTTATTCAGTTTAAAGTTTGCCTGACTCCAACCTCTAGGCCAAGGCCCAGATAGACTCCTTCCTGGGGGTACCCTTTCCTCCGATTGCCTGTCCACCCCCTTGCTCAATCTGTCATCCATCTAGAAGCCTAGGGTTTGTCTTGCTTAAGGCTCATCAACTTAATTCACTTTCATTAGGTTATAAGGTTGGTTTCTACTTTGCCTGATTCAGCATTAGGCAAAGAAAATTTGTGAAAAATCCTAAATATTACATTATTCTGATGTTAACTTTGGCTTATTAATTTGACCATTGTGTGTGCATGTTTATGGTGTGTGTGTGTGTGTGTGTGTGTGTGTGTGTGTGTGTGTGTATGTGTGTGTGTGTGTGTGTGCGTGTGCTTGAATGCTGCTTGGAAACAAAACACAGTTTAAAAAGCAAGTACTTGTTTAGGAAGAGAATCACAGGATGAACTGGCAGAGAAGAACGGAAGCAAGATGAGGGAGGAAAGCGGTTCAAACGTGACTCTTTCTCAAACAGGTAGAGTTAGTCTTCCGTATCCATGGATTCTGTATCCATGAATTCAACCATCCAGAGATAAAAATATTTTTAAGAAATTCCATCTCTCCTATCAACATAGATATGTAGTTTTTTTTTTCTTTTTATTCGCTGAGCAGTCCAGGGTAACTACTGTTTGCAATGCATTTGCACTGAGGATCAGAAGGAATATAGAAGTGATTTAAATATACAGGAGGATGCATATGAGCTATATGCCAACACTACACAGTTGTCTATAAGAAACTTGGCTGTCTTTGGAGTTTGTATTTGGGGGATATCCTAAAATCAATTCTCTACAGATACCAAGGGGTCATCTGCAGTCACTGTGAGCAGCTAGAACCCTGGCCAGGAGGTCATAGAACACATTCCTTAGTTATCTCTCTGCAAAGCGAAGGAGCTGGGACTTTATATACCAGCTTCCTGTCATTTGTTAGTTAAGAGCTGCCTCTGAGAGCATCATCCCTCTGGCCTCCTCATCTTACTTGTATGTGGTCCTAAGTACAAGTTCTTAGGATATAGGGAATAGCCCTCCAGGCAGAGAGGCACAGGGGTTCACTGTCTTTAAGTACATGTAAGCACAGAAGAGACTAAGCAAAGCACCGACTTGTTGAGACATGACTGCCAGGGAAAGTTTTATATCTACTAACATTTCTAATGATGTTCCTGCTTCACCAGTGGCACCAAAATCGACTAAGCACAAATTGCTTTTTGCTGGAGTCTCAGGTTCCAAAGCAAGAGACACACAAATATTGCATCAAGTGCCACATTTTTTATTGGAAGAATTCATGTCAGGCTACTGAATATGCTTCCAGGGGTCAAGGTGAAAAAGCATTGCTAACTCCAAGATTTAGCAGTCAGGATGGATAACCAATTCTCTCATTAGACTCTCCTTTCTTATTTTATATACAATAGGGCAAACTGCCCATCTTCTCAACCAATCAGGAAGGAAAGGGACTCAGGCCTCTCAGATAGTCTCCAGGATGTTTAAAATTACTGCCAAGCAGAAAGCTGCTGAGTCCGGGCAGTTTCCTAAACCTCCCATAAGTGACCAGCATGTGACTGACCTTCCATTGCTGGCACTCAACTGGTAAAGGCACATTTAAAGGGAAGTTGGCTCCACTATGTATACCCCAAAGTTTAAACCAATTATACTCATATATACTATAATTTGTCATATAAATGAGCTCCCTCTACCCCCCGCCCCCCATGTCTCTGTGTGTGTATGTGAAATATGTGCACACGCATGAGGAGGCAAGGTGGATTTGGGGTGTCTTCAGTTACTTGCCATCTTGTCCATTGAGACAGGGTCTCTGAGTGAACTTGAGGTTCATCAAGTCAGCTAGACTGGCTGGCCAGCAAGTCCCTAGAATATTCTTGTTTTAAGTCACCCCAGCACTGGGGTTAGAGACTCTCATGACCATATCTGACTTCTCCTGTGACTACTGGGGATCTGAACTCAGAGTCTCATGAATAGGTTTTCTGTACCTCAATAGCAGGTTTCTCCACTGATGCAGTAAGCCAGATCAAGCTGAAGTGAAGAAGTAAAAAAAAAAAAAAAACAGGTTTATTTTG